CCATACTTTCCTAGAACTATTAATAATTAAAACTGGCATTTACCAAATTTGGAGAAATGAAGGAAAATTCTCGGGTAGTTAGTTAGCAGAATTATTACATTGAATTCCTGTGTTAGAGGGTATACCATGGTATACTTGTAGGTCTGCAGGCAAATCACAGGAATCAGTTCTCTCCCTCTAGCATGTGGCTCTGGGGACCAAACTCGGGCTATCAGGCTTTGGCAGGAAGCATCTTCACCACTGAGCCATCTCACTAGCCCTCAAATAATTCTCAAGAACATTTTCTGAAAGTATTGCTTCTTCACTAAAATCTCCTTGGGGGCTTTTGGATAATATGTCATTCATTTTAGCTACTCACTGTACCTCAATTCTTTGTGCATTTGTGTAAGACCAGCCTTGTAGCTTTTCTCTGTTATTTGTGCGGACTGACTTGTCCATTTCCAGGCTCTTATAAGGTTAGGTTTCTTTCATTCATAGAAGAAATTGAATCACTAAATCATGTTTTGAAATTTCCAGTAGGCATTAATTACTTGTAGAATAAATACAAACTTAATTTAAAAACCTGTTTGCATGTTATATGCCAGTATGTGTTGTTCTTATATACTATCTGGACCATGTATTTGTATTGATAATCTTCCATTCCTATGTGGCACAAGCTACATTAGCTCTTTCTGTCTCTAGACTACCAAAAGTTCTTCACTTTTCGACTTAGGAAAACTTGCTTCCTGTGTAATTTGAGGTTGAGTTCCTGCATTTCACTGGGTGCTTCCCCTCTGCTTCCTGCTAGACATATTTGCAATTTGGTTTTTTGTTGTTAAAGATTGTGCACACACATAAACACAAACACACAGATTCTTCTCTGCTAAATTAACAAGTCTCCCCTCTTCTTATCACACTGATTTTAAGAAGCATTTGCTAATTTTTGTGACATCTGAGGTTAGTCTGCTCCGTGTGTTCCCTTGGAGACTGGGCTTTGAGTCTTAATGATGTTTTCCACTTTACTTTTTTTCTATTATTATCCAAATTTGTTTAAATTTTACATCTTGTGACTCTTCATAACACTAGGTTTTTTTGAGTCGGCCCTTATGCTATATACTGGATTTGTTTCATTTCTGTAATCATAAAGGTGGGACTAGGCCAGCCACTGTTTCACCATCAGCACATCCCTGAGGTGGCCATTGAGGATGATGCTGGTCATTCCTCTTACCCTTCAGATTCTTCTAAAGTTTTCCTAGAATTGCAGGAGAACGGCAACATTTCTGCTGCCATTGCCCGTTTAGATTGGTCTTTTCCTCTTTCACCTTGGTGCCCGTCCCTTCCCTCAGTACCACCTGCAGCTGGTATTGCAGGGCGAAGAATGACTCTCCAGGATTAAGTAAACAGGCACATGACACATACTGTGCCAGCTTCATGTAACTAAAACATCCCCAATAACTTGGAGAGGTCACTAAACTTTCCCTAAGACCTTATGAATCAGAATGCCTGCTTAGACCATGTGAATAACAGGCACTCCGCTGCTAAACCCAAGGTTCTTGAACAAAGGAAGGCTTCTTTTGGTTACTTAGGATATAAGACTAACTTCACTTTCCCTAATAATATTGGCTTTACGACTATTAGGAAAACAATGAAATGAAAGATTCCTTTTCTGTTAGATTTGGATGTGAATTTTCATAATTATTTTAAATTTGTTATGCTTAAGCTTAAGACATCTGACTATTCAGTGGGCTGATGGATGGAATGTCACATTGTCATCACATGGGAAGGCATGCAATGTATTTGCTTTTCATAGTCAACCTCTACTAAAAACAACCTCTCACAGATAGCCCCTAGTCAATAGATGGCATTCTGTAGCACTTGGCATTTTCAGTTTTTCTGGAGATATTAAAATGCCACCATTATTGGTCTGTGTCTAGGAATTCCAGTAAACAAAATGTTTTTGAAAAGAATGTAAGCAAATTGGAGAGCAGCTGCCAAGATAAGAAATCAAGACAGTTTCAGTCCAAAACATATTTTATGTTTTGAGAATAACTGTGTAGGTGGCAGAGTGCATATTTCAAGTGTAGTATAACCATCTGAACTTTACAGTGTTCAAAAAAGTTGATTGTTTCAGCTGTTTGTAACAGAAACGATTTCAGAACTTCTAGCTCTGGTCTTTTGAAAGAAGCACAGACTGTTTTCTTTAGTTAACTTCCATTGTAAAATTCATCTTGGTTCGAGAATTCCAAAATTCTTTAGGCTACATGACAAGTTGAAAGCCCTTCTGTGCTGACACTATAAAGTAGTTTGTGGCATTGCCTTTTCTTCCTAGAAACCATTAAGGTATTTTTAACAAAAGTATGTTTTGCTTCTCTCAACTCAATCTTGAAAAAGTATTCATCATATTGGCTAAATAATTTTACTTCCCGAAGACTACTACCCTTTTGTCTTTTCATCTTATAAATTAAGTATATTTTTTGTCAGATACTTCAGTTTTAAAAAGCACTCATCTGAGTTTGAACATTCTCTTAAAAATTCCATGTGCTCTCCTAGATTGACTTGGAGATAGCTGTTAGTTTTGAGCCGCACACACAAATTAAAGTGCACTGCAGCCCCAGCCCTTTGTATGGAGTCACTGTTGTGCATGCTGTTCCCGGTCAGACCTCCACTGTAGATACTGCTAATGTTCTTCTTCTGTGCCAGGCATCACTGTTCGGGGAACACTATCAACTGCTGGAAATGCTTACTTAAGATTTGTCTTAGATTTAAGGAAAACCAAACAGGTTTATTACTTTTCAAGGTCTTTTACATAGTTTTCTTCCATGCTTTAAATTTTTATGCTTTTCTTAAAGCATAATAATTTTTCTTTTGAAAAAATCCGTAGCAAATGTTAAAATTATACATTTGGACTCACTTAGTAGCAATTATGTGTTTAGGAGGTGTAAATAACTTGCAAGCAGACAGTACAAATATCCAGGTGTTCTTATGTGCTGATGACAACAAAATTGAAAAGAAAGACTGTAATAATTCTGACTGGTTTTCTCTGCAGAAGATATTGATTATTTGTGTGTGGTGAGAGATTTGGAAAATTCAATTAAAGGAGTTGTGCAAAGGTTTCATAAATTTCCCTTCTACAGCGTGTACACAGACATTGTTGCCTTTTAAATCAATGCAGCACTTCACAATATATTTTCTTTGAAACATAAAAATAAATAACATTTAAACAGTTCTGCTTACTACAGAAACAAATTTTATTTTCTGTGAAGCATTTAGTCATGTGCTATCACTGACTCATACACATTTGCCAGCTGTAACAAATTTTATAGACACTTCCCTGGAGACATAGCTCACATACTATGAATTTTTAAATGAACAAATGGTGAAGAAGGGATGTCAGCAATATAAAAATTGATCAGTTAAAAGATAAAAGCATAAGTAAAGAGATTTGTATGGTAGCCTTAATAGGTTTTATTAAATAAAAATACTATAAAAAGACAGTAATGAATAGACTGAGGACTGGCTGTTCTTGAGGAGGAGAAGAATTATCCTGGCACATTTATAGAAATTGGTTTTTTGTCACCTGACAGGTGAACAGTTTCCATTTTAACCCTGAAAAGCAGCCAGAAAAACTCACCCCACCCCCAAGACGCACATCGAATTGCTAAGTGGCATTCATACCTTAGACACATACGCAACAAAGTAGATTTACATTGTTACATAGCTAATTATGTCGGTGCTTTGCGGCCCATCACAGACTCAGAAGAGAGGTCATTTGTTTTCACACTCAGTTCCAGCCCACTGGAATGCCTGGACCCCTCTGCCGCCTTCCTTCTACGAGATTGCTTTCCCCCCCCTGCTTACCTAACTGTTAGGTCCGTCTCAGTGGCCCATCCTCTGTGAAACTCCCCATTCCTCCTGTTGTGCCTGTTGTGGGCTCCCATAGTACTCGTCAGTGTCTGTCAGTTACTGTTACTACTGTTACGTGTGTTTGTGTAGTGCATCAACACTCTCAGACTACTGACCTTTTGTGTGTGTGTGGGGGGGGGCGTCTTCTGAATTGCAGCTACAGAGCCTAGATCAAAATCTGGAGAAGGCTCTCTCTCTCACTCTCTCTCGCTTTAATTTTGGATGGGGTCTCCCTGTGTTTTCCTGGCCAGCATGGAATTTGCCATGTAGATCAGGCTGGCCTCAATTTTTTTTTTTTTTTTTTTTTTTTTTTTTGGTTTTTCGAGACAGGGTTTCTCTGTGGTTTTGGAGCCTGTCCTGGAACTAGCTCTGTAGACCAGGCTGGCCTTGAACTCACAGAGATCCGCCTGCCTCTGCCTCCCGAGTGCTGGGATTAAAGAAGGTTCAAATATTTATGATTGCTCTCATTATGTACTACACTCACTGTTTATGGAATGCCTGTTATGAATTAGTCTTCTTACCTTAGAGATAAAAGACAAGAAAGACATTGTCCAGCACAGAAAGCAAGTAACCACACTTAAGTGTGGAAGGGTAATAGCAATAGTAGTACATATGAATACTCTTTGTAATGGTATAATGTATAAGGCATACGAGTATCTTGGCTGTTATAATTTTAAAATATATATTCTGAAGTAGAATCAGAAAAACCTCTGAGATGCTGAAATACAACTTATAAAGCCCAAACTTGTTTATTATGTAAAATAAAAGTTGAGGTTTTTTTTTAAAGATTTATCTATTTTTATGTGTATCGATGTTTTCCTGCATGTATGTAAAGGCACCATATGCATGCAGTACTCAGAAGGTGCTGGAGAGGGTGTCAGATCCCCTAGGACTGGAGTTGTAGATAGATGGTTGTAATCTCCCGTATGAGTGCTGAGAACCGAACCTGGCTCCTCTCTGCAGGAGCAGTAAGTGCTCTTAACTGATGAGCCATCTCTCCAACCCCCACTTTTAATTTATTTTAATTTCACTTGAATCGATATTGACTTTGAATCACATAGTGTGGCAAGTTATTCTGAACTCTTTTCTGAAAACAAATCTTTTTTTTTTTTATGTAGAACATCATCTTGAGTTTCAAATCCCTTAAAGCCATTTTGAACTGAGGTAATAATATCTTGCTTTTCTAACTTAACTTTGTTAAAGTTCACTGTCTTGTAGATGTAAACATTTAACTTACATTGTAAGACTTAACTAATTAGTACAGCTTTCCTTTAGAGCCATTACTGCTATCTTATAAAGAATCTTTTTCTAGTTACTAACTATAGCATATAAACTATCAGTACATTACTACTCTCTTATAAAGAATCCTTTTCTAGTTACTATCATATAAACTATCAGTACATCATGACGTGATGTGTTCAGTAGTTCACTAGATGGACACACCTTGCTTGATTTGGGCACCTCCTTCATCTATCCACACCTCGGACTGGTCCTCACCCTCGTGAAGAGAGCTTCCATTCCAAGAGTAAGCACGGGCTCCGTCTCAGCTGCTACACTGTCTCCAGCATATTTATTTCATCACTTCCTCATCAAAATTGTTCCTCCTTCTATCTCACTAGCCCAGCTTAAAAACTCCAAATACAACAGAAGCGACATGATCCAGCAGCATTTCAGCTGTGGAGACAGAATTTGAGCTGTACTAAATGATACAAGTTCAGACTCTCACTCTGGGCTTCTGGACCATTGTACAAAAATTGCCACTCTAACAAGGATCAAAGTGTCAGCGTGGAGAAACAGATGTCCCATAGGGCAAGCCCTCTGTCGCAAAAAATTTAGTAATTAACATGGACCAGGCCTTAAGGCAGAATCCACTGGAATCTACACCAAATCTAACCTTGAACTCCATGCACCGCCCCGAACCTGAGGGGAAAGCTTGGGTGCTAGGTCTGAAGACCACATCCTGCCTTCTGTTCATGATTGCAGCTGGACATGCAAGGACAAGCTGCTCTCCTGACCACATGAGACAGGAAGCACGAAGGCCCATGAACTTGAGATAGGCCGCGACAGTGAAACTACATGTGAGAAAGAATGGCATGTAAAATTAATGACCTTGATATCAGTAAAATGTAGGCCAGTGGATGTCCTGGATCCTGCCTTTCATGAGGTGTGGAGCAAGGACTAGTTGGTAATAAACACTGCTTTCTGCTGTGGGTGCCAGTGGAGAAAAAGCGGTGTTAGAAAGTTTACAACAAGCATAGGTCTACTCGGGAAAGTGTGACAAGGGAATCAGAGACTGGGGACTTTACAGCAGTGTGTGGTGTGCACAGCAGTAATCCCAGTGCCTGAGAGGCTGAGCTGTATTCACACCGGGGCTTTCCCGCAAGCAAGTGCGTTCTGCTCTACATTGCCTTCGTCCAGGAGCCGCTTACAGCCTGTTAATTATAGCACTCAGACAGAAGAACCTGTAAGACAGGACTCCTCTAATAAAGCCGGGCCTGACCTCAATCCTCCTCCCTCATCTTCCTGAGTGCTGGAATGACAGGCATGTACTAAATATGCCTGGCTTCAAAAACATGGGCAATTTTGATGGGCTGTATAAATATGCCTACATAAGCACAAAATATCAACAAGCGAGACTAAGAATTCAGGGCAATGCAGGCAGTCACCAGCCTCATACAGGCAGAGATGACCCAGCTGCAAGGATTATGAGGCCAGCAAGTATCTGAAGTATGCCTTAGAATATATGGTTTCCATGAAGGATGGATACTGCTACTACCTGTTAGTCCATAACATAACTCTTATTAAGTTTTCTGCTCGACCCTGGATTTGACTTCAAAATCTTTCTCAATAGTTCTCCCAACAATCAGGGACAGCTGATGAAAACTTCTTTTGTAGTGTCTCTAGTATTACAAAAAATATAGTAATTTTTTTTAAAGTCCAAGATGTGCAATGCCAACTCTATTACCCTAGTTATAACCCTACTCTTGCCCCAGGTTCCCCTCACACTGGACTGTAAGTGGAGCTTGTGATCCTACTTTGTGAGAATAAACTGTGTAATTAGCCTAACTAGCATCTCCTCCATGGTAACATTTTAATAAGATTTCCTCTCTTTTATAGTGTTACAAGTCTGACAACTGTGTCAATCTACATGAGTGTTAGTAAGAATGCAACCCTGCCTGACATGAAGAGTCAGTGAAAGCAGACTGTTAAGTTTGAAAACCACCTTCTCAGACAGGAAACGGATTATCTATGGATAAGTAGGAAAAAATAAAAGAGTTCATTGTGCACTGACTGCCTTTTTATGCAAAAATCTGTGTGTATGTCTGTATGTGCGTGAGCCCATCGTCCCCCTGACCAAGACGGGGTTCTTGTTCACCAATGTACACACCAACTCAGCTGGCCTGGGAGCTCCCCGTGAGTGGTGGGAGCACAGACGTGTGCTGCTGCCTCCGGCTTTATATGGGTCCTAGCGACCCGAATGCAGGTTCGCACACTGAGCCACTGTCCATGACCTCTGATGGTGAACACAGGAGGGAAAGAGCCACATGCCTGCAAGAAGGCTTGTTTCTTCAGTCGCCAATATCTTCCCTGACTCAGTGCTCCCAATAGAGTCCAAATAGGATCCTCTGTCACCACCAGGAGTCCCCAGCAGGACACACTGAGTAGGAATCTGTCACAGTCACCACACACACCCTTCTTGGCAGCTGTTGAAGGAAGCACCTGCTGGAAGTCCCTTAAGGCATGTAGACAAAGGCATCTAAATTGTGTTTTCAGTGGGTCATGCTGGAGTATCAAAATTCTCTCAAAAGTATTTCTCATATTTCCCCATGCAAAATAAAAAGCGCTGTCAGAACAGCCAAACTAATTTGTGAAGGTGAATCTTAGAAGACGCAAAAGTAAGCTAACGGGAGTTTATTAGTGTCTAAAGTAGGTACCACGTGGCAAACAGCACTTAAATCATTTCTTGAGTGATGTACGAGATGTCTGTTAATTTGGAAACTAATTCATGATGATGTAATAACTATCTTCTGTATCCCAAAGGCACTTGAAGAAAGGCATGCGCTGTGAACAGTGTCCGCATCTGCCTGATCATATTTAAAGGCACAGAGAAATGTGTGTAATTAATCTGCCCAGTAAATACCAACTCGTAGCACGAGGCAGGTGCAAGTCTAGATAAAATTTCTTGCAGCTAATTTAAACTTTCTACACACACCACTAGATAATCTCAATGTAAATAATACATTTCTTCTTGACCCCTTAATGTAAGCCCTGCAGTAAAGTCCTGACTTGCACTGTTTCACCTATGTTTTATCGACTTTGAACACTTGTGGATAGAATTATGATCCTACCTTTGTAGAATGACGTCCTTTACTGACACTCACAGTCCACCAGGCAAACCAGGAACCAGCTCCCCCATGTGCAGTCCCAGTCACTCAGTAATTTACAGGTTACTTTGTGTTTGTTGGAAAGGTTGTAGTATATTGTGGGACTGGTGTCTCAGGTGTGCATTGTTCCACTCTAGGGACCATCATCTCTGCTCAGAGAAAATTACTGTGAATGTTTTAAGACTTTGTATATTTAGGAAACAATGAAATGAATTTTTGGGACAGACACTTAAATATTAAGTTGGTTTTGAACTAAATTCAGAGTCCAATGAATTAAAAGAAAGAGCTTTACTATAGGGAAGAATGGGATCCCTTCCAGACTGAAACATTAGCTTGGACGTGACTCTGTGGTGTCTGCATTGCAATCTGTTTGTGCTGTAAGGAACGAGCGGAAGGAGAGTCAAAACTTTTGTCACATCTTTATAACACAGTTTCTACACCTCACACACCGGACCACTGCAGCAGGAAAGAAATGCTGTTCTCTTGGTACTTGCCCTAAGGAAGTTTTGACAAAATTAGTCTAAGATGTTACCTGATGAGGTATTACTTCGAAAATAAAAATCTTGTATGAAGATGTAAAATAAAAATCAAGATTGAAAAGCATTCATTTTCCACTTAGATATATTAAAGGTGTTTTTAAAAATCTGTTACCATAAATGGCATAGGTGCTAAGTAGTTGTTCAAGCTCAATGAACTACTCAACCTAATTGTCTTCTGGGTTTCCAGGAACTACTTAAAGCAAGATTTTTTCTTTTGTATATCTGTCTGCTAAATATCAAGGATACTTTTTGATATAATCCTTCAGATATGTGACGAAAAATATACTAATATAGATTGTTCTAACACTGAAAACTAGGACACAAGTCAGAACATTTTATAAAGTACCCTGCATCAGTCAGGATATAAAGGGTTAAGAAGCAAGTTGGTTTCATATGTAATGAGTTATGTAGGTATGTGTTTAACACAGTTACTGTGTGTTTGACCTCTTGATAGACTGAGCATTTGCCTTTCAGAACAGCTGGGTCTGCTGAGAACCAGTTCCCAGTTCTCTTCATTGTAGATCAGATGACTCTCGCTTTATCACCCTTAGAGGCCACATGAAGGACAAAGCAGAAAGATCCACACACAAAACCAATGTTTATGTGGGGGGGAGGAGGAGGGATATACCTGGCCCAAATATTCCAATTAGCAAAAAAGAAACCAACTGAGAATTGGAACCACTGTGTTCCTCTGGCCATGTTTTGGCTGTAATCTGTCCGTGTCTTGCTCCTTCCTATAGAACAGTGGGCTGTTTGACTGCCTTGACCTCTGTGTGGCTGGCTCCCCTACTGGTGGTTTATGATTTGGACAGATGTTTTTCCCTCCCTGAGGCCTCAAAGGATAAAGATTCTGGTGAGCTTCATATGATACACGAACCCACACCCTATTCTCCTCTGGTTTAAGAAGCAAACCCAAGTGTATTAGTAGTAGAGAAACTGCATTTCTCAAGAATGCCTCTTCGTTCTAAGATGTATCTGAAAAGAACATGGAACTCCTGATTTTTGACAGATAAGGAAACGAGGCTTCTGATTTTAACTTTGTTTAAGTATCTATTAAAGCCCCCCAGGCCCTGAGGTTAGCTGAGGGATGCTTTGGACCGCTCACTGGAGGAGGACACAGTGCTTTGGAAGCTAGCTGCTGCAAAACAAAGCATACTTTGTCTAACTTTGTTTTGTCTTTTAAAACAGTATTTCATGTGGCTCAGGCTAGCCTCAAACTCATGATGCTCCTAAATGTAGCTCCCAAGTGCTGAGATTACAAGTGTGTGCCACCAGAGCCAGCTCTAAGTGCATATAGTAAACTGGTCTGCAGTGGGTAGGAGAGCTATGACTTACACTGATCATCCTAAGTCTCCTGTAAAGCTGAAGGTTACTCAGTATGGTTAGACTAAATCATCAGGGAAAAAAAAGCTTTTATTGACAGAATCTACACATACAAGAAATCTGTACATAAATATAGCATCATTTATGCTGTTAATTACTTTTGCTTTTGAGTAATAAGGTTGCTCTACTGGATTTCTGAGAAGTTAAAACTTTGTCATTAACAGAAATCAACATTTCAGTGTTAAACTCAGATACATTATTAAGGGGGGAAAGGTGGTAAAGTTAAACCAGCCAAGATGCTGTCAATGAGGCCCAGAGGTTACAAACAGTGGCCATGGACAGTGATGCCCTTCCTGACTGGACAGTGACCAAGGTGTTTCTCTCTGCTGGTCTTGCCCTTTGAATCTTCACGCACACTGGCTCTGCCTAGACCCACTTCCTTTATCAGACTGAGAAATTCATGTTTTCCTGCATCGGCCTATAGCTAGACATATCCAGAACCATCCTTTATACGACCTTAGAATATGCCATTAAATGATTTAATTGATGACTGTATTATGAAAGAAATATACTCAAAATAGGCTAGTGGTAAAGTGACTTTAATTTTTATCAAAACTAAAGAAACAGCTTTCCATGAGAAAGGAAAACATAATACATGATTTTTACCAGTTGAAACCAGAGAAAGCACAGGAAAAGAGATAGCCATATCTACAGGACAAGCCAACAAGAGGCCTGACCTGAATAAACACTTGTGTCCATGGAGATCTTAACCGAGGTAGCAGAAAGGAAGCTGGAATCCGTGATAAGGTCGTTTAATTTAGAATGATTATAAATATATAGAACTAATGACCATGAGTAACCATAAGACTTTAAACTTCTTATTTTTATATTCAATAAAGTTCTTTTTAAAAATGGAATCAAGTGCTTGGAAACAAGAATACCACTTAATCTATTAGCATCCAATTTTGCATATGTAGTAATGCATATTCAAATTTCAAACAGCACAACATACCTTCTCAGTAATTAAAAAAAAGTTAATTCCCTGAGATACAACTTTAAATGAGATGCTTATTACTTGTATGCTAAAGCTCAAACAAGACAGAGGCTTAGTTCTGCCAATAAACTCACGATACTTAACTTTTTTAAAAATTACAATTTATAGAATAATTCCATTATTAAATATTGGCATTAAGGACATTTTTTTTCTCTCCCTTTTTTGTTAAGATGGGTCTCATGGAGCCCAGGCTAGCCTCAAACTTTCTATATCACCAAGAATGATCTTGATCCCAGGTCCTCCAGCCTCCACCTCCCACTACCGGAATTACAGATGTGAGTACTGCAACCAGCTGGGACATTTTTTTCTCTTATTCTGTCATTTAACTATCTGTGAATATTAGCAAAACTACAATATGCTTTACCAGAAAATACTTAGGAAACAAGTGTTTTGGTCCCATAAACAGTTTGTGTAGATAACAATAGGCACTGGCCATTTCTTTCCTATGATACCATGACTCTAAAGATGCACGTTCACTTACACATAACAGAAGACTGCATTTGTTTTGGAAAACAGCTAGTTGATTTTCTTCCGAGTTCTTCCACTGTTGGAATCCCACATGATTACAATGTTGAAGTACACCAAGAAGAACATGAAGTTTATGCAGGACACAAAGCACACCAGCACAGGGAACAAGTCTGGTAATTTCTGGGGAGGGTGCAGCGTGACACTCAAAGCCGTCAGAAGGGCCATGGTGGTGACTGAAGAGAAGAACTGGAAGGGAAAGGAAGACTCTTACTGAGTGGTAGAGGCCTGCCGGGGTGCTGGCTGCGTTCCTTGTCAGCCTGCCTCCACCGAGAAAACGCTGCCATCAGACTGGCCTGTAGGCATCCTCTCGGTTAGTGACTGATGTGCCAGGTTCCAGCACACAGGTGATCCCCGGATGTGTAAGAGCAAGCCAGTTAGCAACCACTTCTCCCCAGCCCGCACTTCAGTTCCTTCCCCCAGACCCTGCCTCACATTCTCTCCTGTACCCTTTCCTCCCCAAGTTGCTTTTGATCATGTTTTGTTTTCTAAGAGACAATTTCTCTGTACAGCCCTTGCTGTCCTGGCACTCGTTCTGTAGACCAGGCTGGCCTCGAACTCATGATCTTCTTCTTCCTTCAGCAAATCCTACTGACATGTGCCACTACAACCAGTGGTGTGGCCTTTATCACAGCAACAGAAAGCAGGCTTAGACAGCTGGTAACACTGGTTTGTAGCTACTCTATCAGCAGAAATGAAGGTGAGAGCTGAAGGGGCGTCCAGTCTGTCCTACAAGCGAATCTCAGCTTTGGTTTTATGTTGGAATTACCTGTTAAAAACACCATTTAAATATAAATACCTGTTGTTAAAGCTCTCCAGAGGGTTCCCATATGAAGCTTTTAACCTTTGTCTTTGTTTTACAGTGTTTGGGGGGAGGCACTTATGCCATGGTGTGTAAGTGTGTGTGTGTGTGTGTGTGTGTGTATGTGTGTGTGACTGTTTGCCAGTCAGTTTTCTCTTTTTATCCTATCGGTCCTGAGAGTTAAACTCAGATTGTCAGGTTTGAGGCAAGTGTCTGTACCTGCCAAGCCATCTTGGTGGCTCCAGAACCTGTC